AAGTGTCCTCACTCTAAGCCTAGCACCATTTACATTACTCTCTAACTGAAGGTAAACAAAGTCACCCATGGATTGAGGACAGAATCATCCCTAGAGATGACTAATCAATTTTCGCTCACGTATCACCCACATCCAGATCACTTTCTATGAAGTCAATTTCAAAGGTTCCATTAGATGCACCCCAAGATTTCAAGACAAAGTTCATGCAACACACCAGTCCCCCAGCTCCTACCTCTACCATGCCAGGAAATAGGGGATAGATGGTCTTACTTCTGGGTCCAATCAATCAATCAATCAATCCATCAATAAACATTTATTAAGTACCTACTATGTGCTAGGCATTATGATCATTTAAGCTGCTCCCAGAAAGCAAACATTCCCTAGGTCTGAGGAATGAAGACTCTCTGGGCTCTACTCCTGAGTCTCTGACTTTCTCTACCATGCCTCTCAGGGTACCTTCTCCCTCCCCACCTCCCCTTTTCAGCTTCCTTTGATATATTGTCTTCTCTCTTTAGAATGTAAGATCCTTGAGGGCAGAGACTGTCTTCCTGCTTTTATCTGTATTTTCAGCACTTAGCACAATGGCACATAGTAAGCACTTAATAAATGCTATTTTTTTTTGACATAGAATAGTTTACTGGGCTGTTCCCTTGCATGTGACAGGCAGCAGGGAGTCCTTCTCCAGTGCCCAGAGACCCCAGACTAGAAAGCAGCTGGGAGTGATGTCCCTGATACCTGCCCCAGACAGTTCAGTCATCAAGCCTGAGAAATTCACAGTTCTCCAAGAATATGAAAACAATAGCTCTTGCTTTGGAGGCTGGACTCTATGTGCTTGGCTTGTATTCATCTGCAAATGGTGTTCAGGAACCATCAGCTACATCTTGGCTCCTGCTAGAATTCTAAAGAGAGAGCATCCTTTCCATCTGTTCCTCTGATGTCTCAGCCAGGCTATGAGTGCAGGGCTGTGCTGGAGCCCTTCCAACCTGCCTCAAGAGAACTGCTTGTTAAATTTTTAATGTGAGCGCCTCAGAAGCTGGCAAACAGGGTAAATCAGTGTTTGATTTATTGTTTTATTGACTGTCTTGACTTGGAAAGCAATTGGAGAACATGTGAATAAAGCAAATTAAACTTGAAAGTGTGTCATGTGTATATTCCTGCCCTCTCCATTCCCCACCCCCTGGGATAGTTGTTAAACATTTATCAATGCCTCGCTGACTGTAACCTTCCCAGATAACTACTGCTACTCCACAGAACAGGATCTGAGTCTTCCGGGGCTTCTCCCTAAACAGCCCCTACTTTGCTCTTATCACTTTCAAATCCCAGGGATGCCGAGAAGAGGTTTGCTCCAGCTTATGTACATGTTGGAGTAGATGCTACATATGGTGGCCTGCTATATGGGGCGGCTGGGTAGTGCAGCGAATTGAGCACAAGGCCTGGAGTCCGGAAGATTTGAGTGAAAATCTGGCCTCAGACACTAGCTGTGTGACCCTGGGCAAGTCACTTCACTCTGTTTGCCTCAGTTTCCTCATCTGTCAAATGAGCTGGAGAAGGAAATGGCCAACCACTCCAGTATCTCTGCCAAGACAACCCCAAGTGGGGTCACAGAGAGTCAGACATGACTGAAATGATTGAACAACATATACTCTACACTCTAACCAAACAGTGTACTTGTTACTTCCTGTTTACGTGAACAATTACAATGGTTTGACTCTGTAGATGATATGATGGGCCCCTTGTACACATTTGTCTCCGACCTCCATCCTTCATGTCTGGAAAGTAGCCCCTCCTCATCTCCACCCCTCAGAATCCCTACCTTGTGCCAAGGCTCAGCTCCACTCCCCTCTTCCTTTTTGTCTGTTTTGTTCTTTTCCTGCTAGCTCTCTCTTTCCTGATTATTTGAGAACCACAGATTTAATGGATTTAGAAGAGATCTTAGATGATCCTTCTACAGGTCCAGTTTTCTCATTTTACAGATGAGGACAACTGAAGACCACAGAGAGCAAGTAGCTGCCCAGGGTCACCCAGCTATTCCATAGCAGAAAAAGGTTTTGAACCCAGATCTTCTAACTCCAAATCTGTCTTCTTCCCAGGATACCTACCCTGCTACCTTTCTGCTTACTTACCTGCTTATACATTCCACTGTATCCCCAAGTAGAATATAAGTTCCTTGAGGTCAGGGACTGCTTTTCACCTTTGTCACGTCCCCTGTATCTAGCACAGAGCCAGGAAAGTTTTGTTGTTGTTCAGTTGTTTCGGTCACATCTGACTCTTCATGACCCCTTTTGGGGTTTTCTTGGCAAAGTTACTGCAGTAGTTTGTCATTTCCTTCTCCAGCTCATTTGACAGATGAGGACACTGAGGCAAACAGGGTTAAGTGACCTGCCCGGTTGCGTAACAAAATGCCTACTATTATTGTTGTTGAATCATAAGGCTTTCCAGGTTATCTTCTAAAGCTGCTGTGTGTAGACAGACAGCTCTGCCCAGGGTGTAGAGACAGAGAATATCAAGATTGCCCCCCAGTCATGAACTATCAACTCTTTATTTACAATGTAATAAAACATACATGCAACACACCACAGGACTACAAGGTGACAACTCCCCCCCCATAAAAAACTCTCCCCCCTTTAAAGAGGAAAACCTATCCCACTAAAAAAGTTCCCAAGAATTCAGAAGACTGAATGACCAAGCCCCTGGGATCAATCCATTCCACTGAGTTTCTCACCAATGAACACCAATTCCAAGCTAGGAGACAGAAAGGGGGAGGCCAGAAGACTCTGTAGGCTGAGGGTTGAGTCCTGGAGATTAGAGGTTCACAGCTGATCATTACTGTGGTAGTGAATGGGCTTCCATTACAAACCAAAGACTTTAGGCAGAGAGTGAATTAATTGCCTGCTACCTCTCCTTTCATCCTAGTAATTAGGATAAGCCAGAGAGGAAAAGCACTGAAGCAATTAAACCAGTTCTGGCCTTATTCATGAACTTTCCCACCAGAAACCAAAATGAGTTTATTTTCTAACTCATCCAAATGGCCTCTTTATCATTCGAGCTCTTGGTTTTTGTTCCATATATTATAATGTCTATACATTAAACATTATATATAATGTTCTATACATTACAATGTTGCTTTACAGATGTGTTCTGGGTTTCACATATGTGCCTTGTCTCTCCAGCTACAGGTCAGATCTCATTTTTGTGAACTCCAGGTACTAGCTCATTAATTTAGCTTTCCTGGAAATCAGTAATTAGATAGGTTGGATATTTCTTGAAATAGTAGGTGGTCTGGGAAAACTTGCAAGTCTGGTCTAGTTAACTAAGTCTAGTCAACTTAGAGTTGCCAGCTAGAATGCAATGATACAATGTTTGTTTGATCTGTAGAGCGTACGCTCTTCTGGGTCGGGGATGTATCTCCTACTGCATCTGTGCTCCTCCTCATAGCAACTAGGACATAGCTCTCTACAAAGGCCCTTTGTTCTGTGAAGTTTGCATTCAGTCAAAGGGTGGCACTTGAGGACCTAGAGGGCCACGTGTGACCTCGAGGCCACAGGTTCCCCACCCTTGATCCAGATTAAAGAAGGCTGAAGGGAGAGTTTTGGAAAACCACAGTTGGAAGGGGGCTCAGAAGTGGTCTAGTTCAACTTTCACCTAATCAAAAATCCCTTCTGTGACATCATGGTCTACCTTCCTTCATTTGAAGACTTACAGTGATTGGGAAACCATTACCTCTAGGGACAGCCTATCCCACTTTGGGATGGTTCCAATTGTTTCAATTTTCCCTGAAACTAAAATTACTTCTCTGCAATTTCCACCCATTAGATCTGCCCTCTGGGGCCAAGAAGAACAAATCCAGTCCCTCTGCCATATGATAATATCTTCATGTTCCCTCTAAGTCTGAGCTTCCTAAACCTGGAGTTGGAGAACTTGTGTTAAAAAAAAAAAAGCATGTATATGTAATATATACACACTTGTATGTGTGTACACACACACACACACACATATATAAAATTGAATTCCAATTTAATTGGCTTTCTTTGTATTTCTCTGTGTTTTCTTTTATGCATTTAAAGATATGACTCTGAGGAGTCTGCAGTCTGATGGCCAAAGGGTCCAAGACACACTCAAAAAGTTAAGAACCCCTGGTCTATGTCTTCCCTTCTCCAAACTAACCAACCTGAGTTTCTTTAACCAATCCATCTAAGGCTTGATCACCCTCTGGATAGTCTTCATTTTGTCAGTGTCCTTCTTAAAATATGACGCTTAGAAAGGAAGATGCTTCAGATGTGGTCTGATCAGAGCAAAGGAAAGCAGAACTATCATTTCCCTTATTCAGGCCTTGATGGTTGTCCTTCACTATATGAAAGATGGTTCTTAGAAGAGCATTGAGGTAGCCTCTATTTCAGCAGAGAGTAGGGCTGGAGGGAATGGGCTTCCATTACATCAAGAAAGACTTAGTTTAGACATCAGAAAGGACTTCTTGGTATTAATGGTGATTGGACATTGTATGGCTGGATCCTGGACTTCCCCCAGGCCTAGAAGAAAGAGAGTTCTAGAGAATTTCCATGGATCTAGTGATTCCTAATTCAGATTTCTGGGTAAGACTGAGAATCATGTAGGTAGATTTTGTTGGGTTCTAATATGGTCCATACTTAGAATCAGCTACATGGGGGACCAAGAACTCTGACTACCAAGCACTTGGTACTCCTGGCCACCCAATTAGCTTTGCTCTGTTCTACAGTGGTGACTCCTAGCCAACTGTCTCACAAATATGTGTTTTTAGTTATAAGGACTGGACAAGTGAGTGTGGGATAGAAAAGGGAAGATTTAACTAAAAATTAGAGGAAAAATGAACTCAAAAACATGTACTCAGCAGTGATGCTGAGTTAGTAGCCTTATATTTGTACCTGAGGGACCTCATGGGATCCTTGTAAACCCACTAAGAGCTACTGGAATTTAAGCTGGAAGCTGCCAGAGGGCAGGGACCTTGTCTTCCCCAATCGCTCCGTACAGACAAACAAGCACTTATGGAGAGCTTTTTGATGAGGGGACACTGATTTAGAGAAGGAGGACAGCAAGAAGATTCTATTACTAACCCAGCCATAGACTTCACTGAGGCATATGCCTACCTCTCTCTCACCAAAGAAGCCAAAAAACACAGAAAGCAAGTAAATTTTCATCCTTTCATCCTCCCCTCCCCCAAGTTGGTACTAAATTGTCATCTTTTTCAGCAGAGCGAAGCTAACTGATGAGTTATCCCTTCCTCTCCTGTAGATACTGCCAACAGTTCACCTTTACTTCCATATGGCGGTGCAGTATTGCCTGGCGACAGTAGAGGTCACTCTTAGCGTTACCATCCATTGTAAATGGCTGAGAAAAGATGAAGGAAGAGTGTCTGGGGTAGTGGGTTGGCTGTGTTGGTGCCATTGAGCGGTCCAACGCTTCATTAAGCCCAGTGGGTCTCAAATGCCACTCTCCATTTATTCTCTTTTCATAGTTGGGACGTCCAGTTTCAGAACCTCCGACAACCATCTGGTCCACTCTTTTGTTTTTTTCCATCACTAGTTATAAATAATTTGCCCCCTTCCCCAACCTTCCAGGGCATGGTCCACAGGCAGATGGGGAAACTGGGCCAGCACCTCGGTACGCTAAACGTTAAGAAATGATCCTTGGTCCCCATTAATGGACTCTGGCTCTACACATCGTCCTTTCCTTCGAGTGACTCTTCGGTTACGGTGAAATTTGGCATAACAGCGGAGCCCTGTGCAAAGTAAACAACAGAAGAGTGAAGAAGGTGGCCATCTGTCCTGGGGGAAGAGAGAGGCTCTGTGTGTGCACACACAGTGTTTAAGTGTGCACACACGTGTATTCTCAATGGCTTTTAACGTCTTCTCTACCTCAAAATCCCATGAGTTCTTCTATAGATTAGTACTTTGCACTGGAATCTATGTCTGCCCTCTCCAAAGTCACTAACAGTTTCTTAACTGACAAACCTTATGGCCTTTTCTCAATCTTCATCCTTCTTGACTTCTCTGAAGCCTTTGGCATCGTTGATCACCCTCTTCTCCTTGACGCTCTCTTCCCTCTAGGTTTCCGTGACACTCTTCTCTCCTGGTTCTCCTACTGATTCTCAGTCTCCTTTGCTGGATCTTCACCAAGGTCCCATTCAATAACTGTGAGTGTCCCACAGGGCTCTATCCCAGGTCCTCTTCTCTTCTCCCTCTATACTGTTTAACTTGGCGATCTTATCATCTCCCAAGAATCTAATTACCATCTCCATGCTTACGATTCTCAAATCTACTTATCCAGCCCTATCTCTCTGCTGACCTCCACTCTTGCATCTCCAGCTGCCTGTTAGACATCTTGAACTGGACGTTCTGTAGATATCTTAAACTCAGCAAGTCCAAAACTGAACTCATCATCTTTCCCCCTAAATCTTCCCCTCTTCCTAACTTCCCTATTGCTGTTAAGGGTACCACCATCCTCCAGTCACCCACACTTACAACCTTTGACTCCTCATTCTCTCTGACCTCCCATATCCAATCTGTTGCCAAGGCCTGTCCATTTTGCTTTTGTAACATCTCTCTCATATGCCCTCTTCTCTTCGCTGACCCTGCCACCATCTTGGTGCATGGGCTCATCACATTATACCTGCTGGGGGCAGCTAGGTGGCGCAGTGGCTAGAGCACTGGCCCTGGATTCAGGAGGGCCTGAGTTCAAATGTGACCTCAGATACATAACATGTACTAGTTGTGTGACCCTGGGCAAGTCACTTAACCCCATTGCCCTCTTCCCCCCCCCCAAAAAAATTCATCTCACATTATACCTGCTGGTTGGATTCCCTGCCACAAGTGTCTCTCTACTCCAGTCAATGTTCCCTTCAGTTGCCAAAGTGATCTTCCTAATTACAGGTCTGACCATGTCACCTTCTTTCCCACCCCACACACCTCCATTCAATCAACTCTAGTGGCTCTCTATCACCTCCAGGATCAAATATAAAATTCTCTGTTTAGTATTCAAGGCCTTCATAACTTGTATCTCCTCCTTCCCCCATCTCCAATCTTCTTATCCCTTACCTCTCCCTCCCCCACCATGTACTCTGATTCAAGGACACTTGGCCTTCTGGCTGTACTCTACACAAAACACACCATCCTCCAACTCTGGGCATTTTCACCAAATGTCTCCCATGCCACCAATGCTCTCCTTCCTCATCTCTGCCTCTACCTCCTGGATTCCTTGGTTTCCTTCAAATCTCAGCCTAAATCCCACCATCTCTTTCCTGACTCCCCCTTAAATTCTAATGCTTTCATTTCTTGTTTGCCTCTGATTTATCCTGTTTAGAGCTTATTTGTATTTAGTTGTTTGCCTGTTGTCTCTCCCATTAGACCATGAACACCTTGAGAGCAGGGACTGTTTATTTCCTTTCTTGGTATCACCAATCCCCTTAGCACAGTGCCTGCCACATAATAGGCATTTAATAAATGCTTGTTGACTGACTGTTATGTAGAATCCATTTACTCATATTGTCAACAAAAACAGATGTTTTTTCTCTGCCCTGGACACTAAACATCTTTTCTACCTGACTTTCTGATTTCAAGACAAGGTTCCTATACTCAGGACATGAGAGATTGTTCATTAGTAGCTAGTAACTCAACTGTCTTTTCATAGATTGCTATTTAGGGGTGATGTAGACTGATTTCTCAGAGCCTACCTGCTTTTCCTCCATTTTAGTGACAGATCCTCAGGGAAACTACTCCAGGTTTAGTACATGACTTAGCTGTCTCAAAGATTTGTGCCCCGCACTAATTTTTTTTCTTGAAATATAACCCCACTTTGGCAAAGAATTGGAAATTGAGGGGAAGTCCATCAATTGGGGAATGGCTGAATAAGTTGTGGTGTATGATTGTGATGGAATACTATTGTGCTATAGGAAATGACAAGCAGGATGCTCTCGGGAAATTCTGGGAAGGCTTACATGAACCGATGTAAAGTGATATGAGCACAATCAGGAGAACATCGTATACAGTAACAAGTGTTGTACAAAAAATCAACTGTGAATGACTTAGCTGTTCTCAGAAATACAATGATCCAAGAAATTTTCAAAGGACTTAAGATGAAAATGTTATCCATCTCCAGAGAAAGAACTGATGGAGTCTGAATGCAGAATGAAGCAGACTTTTTTGGACTTTCCTTATTTTTGTTGTTGTTTTGGTCTGTGTTTTCTTTCACAGCAAGACTAATATGGAAAAATGTTTTGCGTGACTACACATGTATAATCTATATCAAATTGCTTGCCCCCAATGAGGGGGTAGGAGAGGAAGGGAGAGAGAGAGTTTGGAACTCAAAATTTAAAAAAAATGAATGTTAAAAATTATTTTTACACGTAATTGGGGAAAAAATAAAATATCAAATTAAAAACAACAACAACAGAAAGAAACATAACCCTACTTCCCCCAGGGAGGGTGCAGGGACTTAGGTCATGTGGGTCTGACTTCAGAGGGATTAACTGAGCAGATGGAGCTTTGGAAGCAGGCAGGTGGCTTGAGGGCTGGCAGCCTACCCAGGCACCCCACATATAAGGGGAAGTTGAACCACCTGCAACCTGCTGCCTTTGCTTTGATCTTGTCTGTTGTTACCAAATAGACAACAACAGGTTGGGTCTTTCACACCAGTAAAATGGTGTTGATCACCCTTTATAATAGGAGTAACAAGTACAATAGCTGGAAATAATAATAATGATAGCTAATATTTACATAGTACCTACTATGTGCTGGGCACTGTACTAAGTGCCTTACAAATATCTCATTTGATCTGCACAACAACTCTGTGAGGTAGGTGCTATTAGTACCCCCATTTTACAGATAAGGAAACTGAGGCAAAGAGAGGGTAAGTGACTTGCTCAGGGTCACACTAAGTCCCTGCCTCCTCCCTGGGGGAAATGGGGTTATGTTTCAAGAAAAAAAAAACAGTGGAGGCTACTAATCCTTGAGGCAGCTAAGTCAAGTTAAACCTGGAGTAGTTTTCCTGAGGGTTTGTCACTAAAGAGGAAAAGCAGTAAGTGTAGCAGGCCAGATTTGAATTCAAGTCTTACCAGAATAGCAAGATGTAGCAGTGGATAGAGCACCAGCACCGGGCCTGAAGTCAGTAAGACCTGAGTTCAAATCCAGTCTCAGACTCTTATTAGCTGTATGGCCCTGGGTAAGTCACTTCACCCTGTTTGCCTCAGTTTCCTCCTCTGTCAAATGAGCTGGAGAAGGAAATGGCAAACCGCTCTAGTATCTTTGCCAAGAAAACCCCAAATGGGGTCATGGAGAGTTGGACACTATTGAAATGACTGAACAATATTCTGATTCTAGTCTCAGCACTGTGCCACCTAGCTACAAAGGACATTAGACCGAACTAGTTGATTGATTACTATGATAGCACTTTTTTTGGGGGGGCTAGGCAATGGGGTTAAGTGACTTGCCCAGGGTCACACAGCTAGTAAGTGTTATGTGTCTGAGGTTGGATCTGAACTCAGGTCCTTCTGACTCCAGTGCTCTATCCACTGCACCACCTAGTTGCCCCTTGATAGCACTTTTTTAAAAAACTAGATTTGGGGTTTAATTTGTGTGGGGAACTCTCCATGAGAAAACTCTCTCTGCCAATGCCATTTCTTCTGCATCTCATTAGTCCTTCATAACAACCCCGTGAGGCAGTTGTTATTATGATCTCCATTTTTCAGGTGAGGAAATGGGGTCCCGAGAATTTAAGTGACTTGCCCAGGGTCAAGTAGCTAGCAAGTCACAGGGTCAAGATTTGAACTCAGGTCTTCCTGACTCCAAGTCTAGTGCTCTGTCCCACTGTTTCCCACTTAGCCTGATATCAGCAGATAAGTCTGAACAAAGCTTGATCGATGTGTGCATGGAGAGAGATGGGAAAGATGGTGAGAATCATGTCTTGGCCTTTCATGCTTGTGGGATCTTTTGGTATTGAAGGAGGATGAGATCTCTCCACTCCTTAGAATGACCTTCCTTGGCCAAAGTATGCAGAGACTCCCACCCCCTTTGGGGGATAACCCTCCTAGAACTCAGCAAGGCAGTCCTTGGAGAATTCTCTCTCATTGGAGTCAGACTCAAAGCCTTTCCAGACCCTACCAGAGAGCATGAACTCAGCAAGTAGAGCCTTCAAAATTCAGGCTCCCCTGTGTGCCACAAGACATCAAAGCACTTTAGTGGGGAGATGACACTCGTGAAGACCTGAGTTCAAATCTTTCAGACACTTATTAACTGGGTGATAACTTTAAGCCTCAGTTTCCAACATTTGAGAAATGAAGATATAGAAGTACCTACCTCACAGGATTGTTGTAGGGGTCAAATGAGATTATGTATACAAAATGCTTTATAAGCCTTAGCTACAAAGTGCTATATAAATAAATGTTAGCTATTATTATCAAATATGGTCGTTGACAGGGCTGGCAATAGAATCTCTGTCCTCTGACCTAAAATGCACTGCTCTTTTCACTGTTATATATGTACCTAACGGTTAACTAAAAGCCCATTTACTTAGAGAGACTTAGAAGCCTGAGATCGAAAGCTCTCCCTAAGGGATAGGGGGAAAGGTAGCAGATGTCTCCCTGGGAGGTGATGGGATAAGGGGAAGAAATGGAAGCATGCTGAGGGATATCAGGGAATATCACACTGCCATTGTAGAGGCAGAGGAAGGTCACGATGGTGTGGGGTATCAGAAGGGGTGTTCCCTGCCTCCTGCCATAGCCTGCATTCCCCTGAGGTAGCAAAGCAACAGAGACACCGGGAAGAGGGCAGAGCTGTTGTATAGAGCTGTACCTGCCACAGTGCTGAGAAGAGTGGGTGACTCCTATTTGACTCCTCTGTTTTCTTCCTGATCCTCTTTCTCTCAAGGGAGGCATGAGTTTTCAAAAGGAGCCAGTTTCTCTAATTTTTAAACTTTTTCCCCCCTAACTTTCTCTAACTCAAAGGATTCTCAAAATGTGGTCCAGGGACCCCTGTGGGTCACTGAAACCTTTTCAGAGGATCAGTGGGATCAAAACTATTTTTATAATAATATTAAGACATTTCAAATTTCTAATACAGCAAATATTGGCAGATGTAACCCACATAAACAAAAAATCTTTGGGGAGTTCTGAAGATTGTAAAGGGATCCTGAGACCAGAAAGTTTGAGCACCACTGCTCTGTCATTGTATGTCCTTGGGAAGAATGTAAAAGATGCTGGGAAGGTCTTTGGCTTTTGAAACACTTAGGTGTACAGATGTGGGCATGTGTGCACCCACACACAATCTCCCTCTCCCTATTTGACACTCTTCCTATCTCACTGGGGCATCCAGTTGATGTCTTAACACAAACCACAGGAATCTTATTGATAAGCATTTACATTACTTCCCACAATCAGGGAAAAGATTAAATGAATCTGGATCAGTGACTAGGCAGAGCCTGAAATATGAATTTATCATAAGTACTGGGAAGAGATGGGGGAAACTAGAGGAAGCTCTTCGAGCTGGAGGCTCTTGAGTAAATTTTATCCACTGACTTTTCCCCTGAAGAATGCTCAAGAGACTCCATTCTCTACTCCCAGTCCCCCAAAGGGAGAGAGAGAAGATATTGGTCAAGGAAAACTTCTCAACCATGGGACAGCTAAAAGGGGGAGCTAGGAAATACTATGCTACCTACATAATGGGGGGGTCCCAAGAAAAAGTGGCAGCTAGCTTTCCTGATAAACCAAATACCTCCAATTTATTTTCCAAGGGTACATAGATTTTTACATTCCCCACCCCCAAAATATAACTGTCCTCTGACTTAAAATTCATTTCTCTTTCCATTGTCATATATGTACCTAGGGATTCACTAAAAACCATCTACTTAGGGAAACTTAGGAGCCTGAGATAGAAAGCTCTCCCTAAAGGACAGGGGAAAAGGTAGGAGATGTTTCCCTGGGAGATGATGGGATAAGGGGAAGAAATGGAAGCATGCTGAGGGGCCTCGGGGAACTTCAGAAGTCTTTAGCCTGGGCTCCATCCTTGACCCCCCCACAACATCCTCCTACAGCTTGCTCACTTGGGAACTAGGTATAGGTGGGAAATCATTTTTGTTGAATTCTTCCCATTCTTTAAAGCCCAATTCCTATTCTCCAGGAAGCCTCCTCTCATCATCCCAATGAATCATCACCTCTTTGACTTCATATAGCTGTTTATTTTGTCACTTTGTGTGTTTATAATACATTAAAGTTTTAAAAACACTTTACATCTATTATCTCATTGGGAGATCCCTACAACTGGGTGAGTTAAGGAGCCATTTTACAAATGAGGAATAAGGACATACAATGACAGAGCAGTGGTGCTCAAACTTTCTGGTCTCAGGATCCCTTTACAACCTTCAGAACCCCCCAAAGAGTTTTTGTTTATGTGGGTTATGTCTGCCCAATATTTGCTGTATTAGAAATTTAAAATGTCTTAATATTATTATAAAAAATAGTTTTGATCCCACTGATCCTCTGAAAAGGTTTCAGTGACCCATAGGGGTCCCTGGACCACATTTTGAGAATTTAGTGATAATAATAATAATTAGCATTTATATAGCACTTTAAGGTCTACAAAGAACTTTGTGATTATTTTCTAATTTTATTCTCATGATCACTCTAGGAGGTAGGTGCTCTTATAATCCCTATTTTACAATTAGGGAAACAGGTTACTCAGGGACGCACAACTAGTAAGTGTTTGAAGCAGGACCTGAACTCAGGTCTTGTTGACCTTAGATTTAGTGTTGCATCCACCGAATTATCTACCTGTCAATATTATCTCACTAGATCCTTATAACTGAATGAGTAAAAAACTAATTTTGCAAATGAGGAATCTGAAAATCAGATAGGAATAATAATAATAATAATAATAATAATAATGATAATGATGTAAAATGTTGTAAGGTTTGCAAAGTGCTAGATTATCCCATTTGATCTTTACAACAATCTTGTGAGGTAGGCGTTATTATGATCTTCAGTTTAAAGATGAGGAAACTGAGGCAGACAAAGGTGAAATGACTTGCCTAGGGTCATACAGCTAATAATTGGCAACGGCAGCATTTGAACCCAGATCTTCCTGACTTCCAAGTCTACTAATCAACCAACCAATCAATCAACAAGCACTCATTGTCTACTGTGAGCTAGCCATCGGGGATACAGAGACAAAAATGGAGCCATCTCTGCCCTCAAGAATCTTACATGCTAGGGGCAGCTAGGTGGCACAGTGGATAGAGCACTGGCCTTGAAGTCAGGAGGACCTGAGTTCAAATCCAGCCTCAGACCAAACACTTGACACATACTAGCTGTGTGACCTTGGGCAAGTCACTTAACCCCAATTGCCAAAAAAAAAAAAAAAAAAGAAAAGAATCTCACATGCTTATAAGAACAAACAACATGTCCAAATATAATTAAATATTAAATCTACCCACTCTACCATGAGGCCTCCCAAAGTCCTGATTACGAGAAAGCAGTATGAGAAATAAGGCGTCCCGGTTCCCTCCCCGCCTTACGCCAAAGGGAACAGCAGAAGAGGAAGGCTAGAGAGGACTTACCTTCCATGCACATGCAATCATCAAAACATTTATTATTCAGGCCTCGGTTGTGAGGTTTGCAGAGATGTTCCCGTAAGTCACAGCAAGACCCTGCCAAGACATCAAGCGTGGTCAGACTGGGGCCGAGCGCCTCTCCCTGCTCTCCCCCAAGGGACTGGCCCCCTTTAAAGGACATCCATCATCTCCATGTCAGAGAGACAGCCCCAGAAGAGAGGAGAGCAGGGGCCAGCTGGCTGGAGAGGCATTGTGCTGGGCTCACTGATGGATGTTATCACCAGACACTCCCTCCTGGGAGGGCCAAGATGCCCAGCTGCTGGAGGTTGCTTATTGATCGCTGAGGAAGAACAAACTGCATGTGCCCATCTCCAGGACGAGGTCCCAGCGGAATCAGAGAATTCTATATCTAGGGAGGATCTCAGGGATCACCTAATATGGCTCTCCTCACTTGACTACTACTACTACTACTACTACTAATATAATAATCAGCATTTACATAGTGCCTAAAAGTTTGTAAAACACTTTACAAATATGATCTTATTTTTATCCTTACAACTGTGGAAGTTAGGTGCTGTTACTATCCCAACTTTACAGATGAAAAAACAGAGGCAGATGGAGGTGAAATGACTTGCCCAAGGTCACAGAGTTAGGAAGTGTCTGAGGCTGAACTTAGGTCTTCCTGATTCCAGGTCTGGTGCTCTGCAAAGAAACTGAAGGCCAAGCCAGATAGCTGTAGGACGTGTGTACCTGCATTATCAACTGTACTAATAATGTGATGATGGTCAAATTAATTCTTAAGGCATCCTCAGAGTTTTTGGCATCACAATTCCATACACATTAAGAGTGCAATACGGTTTTTAAAATGTTTTGCTCTCTTAGGCTCAGTTTTCTCACCTGTAAAATAGGACTAATAATAGCTCCTCCCTCCAGGGTTATTATGAAGATATGAGATGACCCATGTGGAGCTACTTGAATGCTAGCTATTATTACCACAAGCGGAATGAATGGCCCGTCTCCCGCCATTTCTGTGCTCGTCCCTCTCCCATAAATAGTCCGTCCCTCTCTTCCTCTTCAGCTGCCACCATCTCTTGAAGTCCCTCCCTTCCCTCAAGGTCCATCCAAGGTCTCCTCATTTCCATGAAACTCTCTGATTCCCCTTGCCAAGGAAAGGCAAGCTTTCTCCCCTCAAATTTTGCATAATTATTTTTGACAAGCCATCTCCTTTGCCTTAGTAGTCTGCCTGGTGAAGGGACAGGCAGAGGGGTAGTGAGCTTCCCCTAACCGAAGGTCTTCAAGCAGATGCTGATGGCCCCTTGGGATATCGTAAAGGGCTTCTCGGTCAGGTAGGGATTGGACTCCACAGCCCCGGAGGATCCTTCTGACCCTAAGATTCTGTTAGCTCATCCTCCCTCATATCATGGCCAATCTGGGGCTGGTCCACTCCTGCTCCTCGTTCCCATTAGATGATAAATAGGCAGGCCCCGTGTCATAGCTATCTCTGCATTCCCAACCCATAGTAGGCACTCCAAATAGATGTTTGTTGATTTGATCAAACTGGGCAAGAAGTGAAAAAAAAAAAAGAATCAACCAGTTGTTTGGTTTCCATGACACCAAAACCTTTTTGAATCCCATCCCATCCCCACCATGTGACAAGCAGGAACAATTAGCAATGGAAAACAGCTGTCAAATTTGCTTTGTGACGGGCTTGACAGCCACCATAGTCAAACAGGTGGCTGCATAAACGCAGGCTTCATTCATCCCTCCCTGAAGATCTGTTGCCTGGGTGACGGGATGAGGACAGAACTTGGCCCCACTCATCTCAAACAGGAAATAGTCAAGAGAGAGGAAATTCATACTCTTAACAGAGGCCATCTCCAGTTTTGCCATCCTTAGGGGGGCATGGGCCCTCCTCAGTAGGCTTGAGAGCCCCCTCCCCCTTCCCCTCTCCACCCTATTCCCTATAGAAGATTCCCTGGTGTGATGGAGAGGGAGTACCTGGGAGACAGTCAAGGTGATGGTCACAGGGCTCCTCTCTAGCTGCTGAAGTTTCATTGCCGTAGCCTGGGCTTTTACTCTGATGTTTCTCTGAAAAGGAGAACATGGGTGAGAAAGCTGACAGACAGATCCCTCTTCCCCCTCCCTTCCTCCCTGGCAAGCTGCTGCCGAGAGTGTGGGGGACCGGCATCCCCCAGTCCTGTCCCTGGTTCATCTTCAGGCTTGCCATGGAACTTTGGGGATTGTTAGAGCCGGCTGGAAGAATCCCAGAATGGCAGAATGTGAGGGCTGGAAGGGACCGTGGAGGTCATCATATGAAAGGAATCCCTGCAACACATACCTGGACCTTAGAGAAAGCCAGTTACAGAAACAGAGAATCTGGGGCGGGGAGGATTCTTAGAGATCAGTGTGTCCAACCATCTCGTTTGATAGAGAAAGCAAGTGAGGCCTAGACACATTCTTGGATATTGCAGGCTGTCTCCCTGCCTATGGTAGAGGGGAATCAGGAAGGTAGTTTATTAATCTCTAGGAGTCTCTGAGAGGATTTTTGTGATATGGTTAGGGAGTAATATAACATTAAGATCTCATGCTTCTGAAATGGAGATATATATATATTTTTTAATTTTGGAGGCAATGGGGGTTAAGTGACTTGCTCAGAGTCACACTGCTAGTAAGTGTCTGAGGTCAGATTTGAACTCAGGTCCTCCTGACTCCAGACCTGGTGCTCTATCTACTGTGCCACCTAGCTGCCCCTGAAAGGAACATTTCTATGCAGTGAAAAGGTAGTTTCTCTCAGTTCAGAACTGTGAGCAACTTGGATCATTTGCCTTAAATCAATCAAGCATTAAATGCATGTGGAGGGGCAGGCACTGGGTATTTGGAGATAAAAAGGAAACTGTTCCTGCCTTCAAGGAGCTTACATTTTATCAGAGAGATAACAATTATATATGGAAACACATATGTATGTGTGAAAATAAATAAGGATAGTTTGGAGGTGGAGGATGAAGAATTTTGAAGGAAATTAGAGATTCTAAGAGGTAGGAGTGGGGAGAAAGGTCATTCCAGGAATGGGGCACAGCCTGTGTAAAAGTATGGAGAGCACAATTTCTGTTAGTTTCTATATATTTCTGCACTATACAATATAATTGCATTATAGTCCCAAATAGCAATATTTCTAGGCAGCTAGATGTCTCAGTAGATAGAGTACTGGGACTGAAATCAGGAAGATACAATTTCAAATCCTGCCTCAGACCCTGCCTAGCTCTACAACCCTGGGCAAGTCACTTTAACCACTGTCTGCCTCAGTTTCACCATCTGTAGAATGGAGATAATAATAGCACCTACCTTCTAGGATGAAATGAGATAATATTTGTAAAATGCTTCGCAGACCTTAAATTTTTATATAAATGCTAGGTATTCTATGGACCTAGACTCATTGGGAGCATAAAAGAGACATGCTATGTCTTGAGTTATAGATTGACCTCTTATAGATTGGTCTTTGAGCTCTTTTACAGACAGACCTCAGTAGTAGTCAGTGTATAAAAATGTTTAAATGAACCCCAGAAACAAGATAGAAAGTATTGAAGATAGAGTCACTATTTGTTGCTGATTTCAAGGTCTGGGTCATTTTGTAGGGCTGTGACAGGGGGTGGAGTGGAAAGAACAGTAGATTTGGACCTAGAGAGTATCTGAGCTAGAATCCTGGTTCTGCCACTTACGAGTGACCTTGGGGAAGTCACATCCCTCTCTTGTGCTCAGTTTTCTCAGTCTCCCAGAGTATCAGCTTTCTCATCTGTAAAATAAGGGCCTCTGAGGCCCATTCCAGCTCTCAACCTTAGGAACGAATCTGAAAGGCTAGCACGCAGAAGAAAGATCAGACTTGTTCTAATCAGCCCCAGAGAGCAGAACTAGGAGCAGCAGGCAGAGGTTATAGAGAGAAGGTTTTCAACTTGATATTAGGGAGAAACTTCCTCATGATTGGAGCTGCTCCTTAGTGGAGCAGGCTGCCCTCCAAGTAGAGGTTAAATGGCTTCTCCAAGCAGAGTTTGGATGGCTGTTCATCAGGGATACTAGAGAGGGGATTCTTTTTCAAGTACAGGCTAGATTCACGGCCTTTGAGGTCCCTTCCCAACTTCGAGATTCTGTTATTCTGTGAATCAGATTCCCTCCTTCTGGCCTCAAGGCCTAACAGGGGAAAAAAGCACGGGTGAAGTCAAACTAGGGATGAGTCGTGAGGAGGAAAAGCAGGGAAGATATACCTTTCTTCTTAGCAGAGGGCCACATGTCAGGTTTTAAGTCTTCATAATCAGTCCAGTCAAACAAAGCCATGTCCAGGGTGGGCATCACATCTCCATCAGGCCTTATCCAAGCCTGGAGAAGACAAGGTAGAAAGATCAATAAACTATATTGGTTCAAAACATCAGAATTACCCAGAAAACCTGGAAAGCCTTGCATGGGCTGGTGCAAAGTGAAATGGACTGTGTACAAAATAACAGCAGTGTTGTAAGGTGATCAGCTATGGATAACTTAGCCATTCTCAGCAACACAACAATCCAAGATAACTCTGAAGGATTTATGATGAAGAATGCTATCCATCCTCAGAGAAAGAACTGATGGTATCTGAATGCAGATGGAAGCATACTTTTTTTACTTTCTTTATTTTTCTTGAGTTTATCTTTCACAACATGACTATTAGGGATATATTTTGCATGACTACACATGTATAACCTATATAGAATTGCTTGCCTTCTCAATGGGGGTGGGGGTGGGGAAGGAGGAAGGGAGAGAATTTGGAACTCAAAGTTTTAAAACGAATGTTAAAAATTGTTTTTACATGTAACTGGGGAAAAATAAAATACTAAATTAAAAAACAACAACAACAAAAAAAAATCAGAATTAGAGAAACCAAGGCTACAAAGGAGGGACCAGTGGATCATTAATAAAGCATCTCAGACCAAGAGGGATCCTTATGGCTACCCTGGTTCACTCTGGACCCCAAAAGTCACTTTGGTTATAGGGTCTTTGCAGCCACAAGGAGTTATTCATTGGTCAGGGTGCCTGATGTCTAAATGGAGTAACACCACTGGATTATGTTGATCACAAAGTGAATTATTCATTAGCATCTAGGAGGAATAGCCACATCTCACTCCCTTCCTTTAAATTATGGGTTCTCAACATATTTTGGCATCCTAGATCCTGTGGATGTTGTCTGGTGAAGCCTCTGGATCCCTTCATAGAATGATGGGTTTTTGTTATTGTTATTGTGATGGCTTTTTTTTTATTTTGTTTTGTTTTTTTTGTTTTGTTTTTGGTGAGGCCATTGGAATTAAATGACTTGCCCAGAGTCACACAGCTAGTGAGTGTTATGTGTCTGAGGCCGGATTTGAACTCAGGTCCTCCTGATTCCAGGGCTGGTGCTCTATCCACTGCACCACCTAGCTGCCCCACAGAATAATGTTTTTAAATACTTAAAACACATAGGGATTACAAAGAAAAACAATACATTGAAATATCCTGAAAATTTAACAATCAGCTCAAGCAGCTGGATTTGGCTTCAGCATACTCCTTTAATATGATGTAGACTGATCTGTGTAACTGTTAGTAGGTCCCTTTAGTAAGGCCTTTTTGGGCCCCTTTTTTTGACCCCCTTCAAAAAGGAGGAACGTTCTGATGAACTGAGGACACCCAGGTTCTAGTCTTGGTCATACCAACTAGTGGTATGACCTTGGGCAAGTCAATTCCTGCCTCTATTAATAGTTTAATAAAATATTAAAAAAACAAGTCTTCAGACCTAAAATGATGAAATCTTGCCTTAGACCTTGATGGAGACAGCCTAGGACCCTGAGCCCAAGAGCACTGGCAATGGCAAGACTCTTAGACCACTTAGCCCTAGTGCCCACTCAGTCCCTGCAGCCAAGAAATCAACTCTTAGGACAACTGTACAGGTCTCATATCCCTTGTCTCCTCAGCTTCCAAAGCCTCAGAAAAGAAAGTTTTTGTCACTAAAATCCTTGGCAATGCTGAATGGCTCGATATCAAAAATGGATATGGTTTAATCAGTGGGAATGATGTTAAAGATGAGACATTACTATTTGCTTTATGCTGTCTATAGTTGGCATCCTATAGATTTGTTTGCATGTTGACTTCCCCAGTAGACTGTAAGCTCCTTGAGGGCAGGGACTGTCTTTGGTGTCATTTTGTACCCCCAGCACTTAGCACAGGGCTTGACACACAGTAAGGGCTTAAGAAATGTTTATTGATTGATTTATTGATTAATTGATTGCTTTGTGTCTTCCCCCCAAGGACTATGGGACCTTTCCATCTGTCTCACAGCTGAAACCTACGTGTTTTTCCTCCATGTTAGAGCGCGAGTTCCTTGAGAGCCATCGGTTGTCTAGCCCAACCTTCTCTTTTTGCAGACAAGAAGTAGCCAGTTCCACGCCCTCATTTTACAGAGGAGGAAGCCTCCGTGCAGACACGGGAATTGACTTGCCCAGAGTCACATCATTAGTCAGGGACAGAGTCAAGGCTGGAACCAGCGTCTCCCCAGTTCAGCGCGTTCCTTCCTCTTGATCAAAGAAGGGGCCCGAAGAAGCAAAGGGACTTACTAAAGGTCACACAGGTCACTCTGGGTCATGTTAAAGGACCGTCCTGGAGGCAGCTCCCACCTGCTTGAGTGGATCGTTTAATTTTCAGTATGAACACTTACACTTCAGAAATCAGCAAACGTTTCAAATCGGGGCTTGATATGTTGTTTTGTTGATGGCCAGACTTAAGAAAATGGTGGACAAAATGTTAATAATGCTGATTAAACAAAAACAAGTGTTCTGTGCACAATTTTTTGGAGAGCCAGTTGTTAAGCATTTTCCAGCACACTCCTGGATCCAAAGCTCCCACCGTATGAGCCAGACTTTGCTCTACTGTGACTCAGAATTCTTGAATTCAAGTGCTGCACTAGCCTCAACCTCCTCAGGGTCAGAGATTACAATCATTCAGCTTAATTCCTTCATTTTACAGTTGTTCAGTTGAGTCCGATTCTCCATCACCCCATTTAGGGTTTTCTTGGCAGAGATACTGGTTTCCATTTCCTTCTCCAGCTCATTTGACAGATGAGGAAACTGAGGCAAACAGGGTGAAGTGACTTGTCCAGGGTCACACAGCTAGTAAGTATCTGAGGCTGGATTTGAATTCAGGTCTTCTTGATCCCAGGCCTGGTGTTCTATCCTCTGCACACCCAGCTGCCCTCATTTTACAGAGGAGAGGCTAAATAACTTGCTTGAGGTTACACAATTCACGAGCAGCAGAACCAGGATTCAAACTCAGGTCCCATGACTTTAGTATTCTTTCCACCAGATGTGTGCAAACAAAGCTTTCCTCAGCCTGACAGGGAGTCAGTCGCTTGATCTTTTATGCAAAGAATAGAACAACTAACCTTCAGTCCTTCCTTAGGGTCCTGAGAAACAGAGACCCTGGAGTCCTACCCTTCTCCTTCTGGCTCTGGGGAGTATCCTTTCCCCAAGATCATTTTCCCTTTCCTAACACTCTTCCCTCCCTCCTTTCAGAACAGAAGCCTCTTAAGAGTCTGGGGAAACCTAGGGATCCCTTCTTAGAATCATATTTTTAAATGTATAAAATAAAATATAGAGTATTATAATGGGAACCAATTATGTTAAAATGGAATTATCAAAATAGATATTTTTTAAGGTTCGTAGACTCCAGGCATATTCTATGTTGCTGAGACCTGGTTTCTAACCCTGGCTCTGTTACTGACAAGTGGTGTGACCCTGGGCAAGTCCCCTCTCTCCTCTTAGTTTCCTCCTCCTCTTAGGCATTCAGGTGGTGCAGTAGATAGAGCCTTGGACCTGGATCCAGGAAGTCCTCGGTTCAAATCTAGCCTCAGACATTCCCTGCTGTGTGACCCTGTACGCTCTTAACCACTGTCTGCCTCAGTTTTCTTATGTACAAGATGGAGATAAATAATAGCACCAGGATTCTTGTGAGGATAAAAATGAAATATCTGTAAAGTGCTTTGCAAGCTTCATGTATGATAAAATGCTAATCATTATTATTATTATTATTATTAAAACAAAGGGGCGGAACAGAATACTCTCTCAGGGCACTTCCATGTTGTGGGTCTCTGATTCCTTACCAGGGGCCGTGGGGATGTAACAGGAAGGACTGGCGATTCTTCAGTGGATGCCGCCGTCTCAAATGTGGTCAAGAACAGGATGGTGGGGGCCAAGCTAGTGGATGATTCTTCCATTGGGCCATTGGGTGCCAGGTCCTCAGAGAGTTCCACCTTTTTGATCAAAGAGCTGGGCTTTGGATCCAGACTTCTGCCTATGGAAGAGGACAGTGATATTGGAGTCATTTAAGGACCCTCTTTCCATGCTACAATGACCAGTCAGGGTCAACTAGGCAACCTCCCTAGAGGTCTCAGACACTCAGGATTGGAAGGGACCTCAGAGGAATCTAGTCCAGCCCAGCCCAGAGAAATGATTCCCTTAATGTCTTAGCCAATGAGTCGTCATCCTGCCTGTTCTGAGCTAAGAGGGCACGTGCAGTAATGGAGGGGAGGAGAAATGAAGACTTTGGGGAAGACAGCAGCAGCAGAGAGAGAGAGAGAGAGAGCGACCCAAGGGCACTGGCAGGTAATGTAGTTGGGTGTGGTCTAATTTTGAAAAAAGTTGAAGAGCAAGTAACTATATCCCTAGGTCTTTTTCTCAGGTAAAAAAGGTCTTTGGCTTCAACACCTGGACAATAGGACTAGTTTAGAGAACCTAGCCTTAAAAAAAGCCCCTAGAACTGTGAAATGTCACAATGTGGGAGGGATCTCAGCACAGAATGTTAGAACTAAAAAAAAAAAAAAAAACCAGAGAATGTCAGAGTTGGGAGGGACCTTAGAACAGAGAATGTCAAAGAACATAAGAGAGATGTTAGACATGATATAGTCTAACCCCCTCATTTTCCAGAAGAGAAAATTGAGGCCTAAAGAGCTGATATGATTTGTCTAGGGTTCCCCCTTCCCTTTGAGCCAGGAGCAAAGCCCACCTGTGCTACAGCGCCCTCAGTCACACCACACAGTTCCTACTTTAGTTTTATCCCACTTTAGTGTCCTTGACTTTTATGATAGAATTATTATAGTTGACAGATGGAGTCAATTAAATTAAAATGACTGGCACAGGAAGATTACAGAAACAAAATTCCTTTCTCCTCAGAGCTTAGCACTGTGCCTGGCACATAGTCAGCTCTTAATAAACATCTGTGGCCTTCCTGAGCAGCCCAGCAGAGATGGTGGTGGGGATTCCGAGGGTGCCGGGCTTGTCATCAGTGGTCCCAGCTTTGGGACCTCTTCCCTCCTTCCTTCCTTCCTTCCTTCCTTCCTTCCTCTTTCTTTTCTCTGTCTCTCTGTCTCTTCTCTCTGTCTCTTCTCTGTCTCTCCTCTGTCTCCCTCTCTATCTCTCTGTCTCTCTGTCTCTCTCTCTCTGTGTCTCTTTCTCTCTCCCTCCCTCCCTCTCTTCTCTCTCTCTGTTTCTTCTCTGTCTCTCCTCTCTCTGTCTCTCTGTCTCTGCCTCTGTCTCTCTCTCTCTCTCTGTCTTTCTCTCCTTCCCTCCCTCCCTTTCACTTCCTCCCTTCCTCCCTCTCTTCTCTCTCTCTCTGTCTCTTCTCTCTCTCTCCTCTCTGTCTCTGTCTCTCTTTCTCTTTCCTTCTTCATTTTACAGCTGAAGAAGCCGAGGCCAGCATCCCCAATCCTTCTCAAATGCTCAGTATCCAAACCAACTGTTTGTAAGAGCTGCTCAACCTAGAAACAGCCCCAGGCTGAGATTCCGGGCTGAGGAGAAGCCAGGCTTGGCTGGGCTCGGCAGATCTGAATCGTTTCAGGATGCCAGGGAGAGAGAATGGGCTTGGGGCGGGGGGAGGGCGGGCAGCAGACACTACATCCTCCCTGTGTGATTTGCATTTTCTCATTCCACCAGTAGATCTTGTCTGGCTGTGCATGGAGGGTGATGCCAAAGACATCTGTTTGTTGTCACACTTGAAGACATCCAGGGGGAAAAAAACTCCGTCTTTTGTTGCAAAAGCATTTAGAGCTGCCTGGCAAGAGCCTTGCCTGAAGCCTGCCAGCTTCCGTTTGGTGAATTCAACTGACTTGGAGCAAGAAAGCCCCTTTCCTGGAAAAGATCTGAGTGACACCTCCCTCTGTGGGGTCCGATGCATCTATAAGCAGCACGTAGAACGAGGCCTAGTTAGTGTTTTGTATATTGATGTGGCAGAGTGAAATGAGCACTGGATTTAGAGTCGGGAGGATCTGGGTTCAAATCTTGCCTTTACTGCCTAAGTGACCTTGGGCAAGTCCGTTTTCCAGGCCTTAGGTTTCCCCATCTGAAAACTGAAGGAGTTTGGACAAGCTGATCTCCTAGTGGCTTATAGTTCCAGCAGGCAGAAGAAGTATCCACAAAGAAAAGTCAAATTAGTAACGGTTATCATTTACATAATGCTTTAAGGTTTATAAATTGCATCACAGGTGTTAACTTTTTTGATCCTCACAACAATCGTGGGAGTTAGGTGCTAATTGTTATCTCCCTTTTTCCAGTTTAAAAAACTGAGGCAGACAGAGGTTAAGTGACTTGCCTAGAGTCACAAAGCTAGAAAGTATCTGAGGTAGGATTCAAACTCAGATCTTCCTGAATCCAGGCCCAGTGCTCTATCCACTGAGCCACCAAGCTGCCCACCTTGATTTAGGAGAGGCCTCGGTTTAAACCCTCCCTCTAGTGATGGGATCCTGGAGAAGTAATTTTCTGAACATCAGTTTTCTCATCTGTAAGATGGGGGTGATATATTTTCCCCTTAATTTTAGCGCTTCCCCTCTGTTGACTATGTCCAATTTATGCTATGCATTTCTTATTTGTACGTAGTTGTTTATGTGTTGTCTCTCTCGTTAGACTGGGAGCATCTCGAGGACAGGGACGTCTCTTGCCTTTCTGTGTCTCCCTAGCATTTAGCACAGAGCCTGGTACACAGTAGGTGCTTAATAAATGCTTGTTCCCTTCCCTCTCTCCCCCCTCCATTTACACTCTGCCATGAGGTATAAGAACAAGGCATTTGACATCAGAAGCCCCCAGTTGAAATTGGACTCCAATATTTACTATCAATAAATCAAGAAGCATTTATTAAGTGCCTACCACAGGCCAGGCAACACGCTAGGTGCTGCTCTCTACCGGCATGATCTTGGCCAAGTGACTTACCCTCCTGGAGCCTGAGTTTGACTATCTGTAAGGTGAAGGAAGGGTGTGGATACCAGGCTCCGGGATCACCTGAAGGAACTGAGGATGTTTAGCCTGGAGAAGGACACACATGGGAGCCAAAGATTGGGGAGGGAGGGAGGGAAGGAGGGATGGCCGTTTTCAAGTCTAACTGCCCTATGGAAAAGGGATTAAGGGATTAAGATTTGTTCTGCTGAGACCCCATAAGGCAGAGCTCAGAACAATGGGGGAAGGGTGCCAAGAGCTAGATTTAGGCTTGATGGCAAGAAAAAAATCACCCGTCTGCCTCAATTTCCCCATCTGTAAAAATGGAGATAATAACACCACCTACCCTCCAGAGTTGCTGTGAGGCTCACAAGATATTTATAAAGTTATTTGCAAAGCTCTATAAATGCTCTTCATGACCCCATTTGGGGTTTTCTTGGCCGAGATATTGGAGTGGTTCCTGCTCTAGCACATTTTACTTTATTTTATTTTATTTTTTTTGGTTAGGCAATGGGGTTAAGTGACTTGCCCAGGGTCACACAGCTAGTAAGTGTTATGTGTCTGAGGCTGGATTTGAACTCAGGTCCTCCTGAATCCAGGGCCGGTGCCCCAAACCAGCACATTTTACAGATGAGGACACTGAGGCAAGCAGGGTTAAGTGACTTACCTCAGGTCACATAGTTAAGTGTCTGAGGATGCATTTGAACTCACTCAGATCTTCCTGACTCCAGGCCAGGCCCTGTATCCATCGGGCCATCTAGTTGCCCCTCCTAAAAATTATGACCGAATGTCATATGAAATGAGGGGAAATGAGGAGCTCCAGGAGGTAGGAGATCCCCTTTATTGGATATCTCCAAGTAAAGGCTCAAAAGAAATACAGCAAGGTAGATGGGAAGGGATTTCAGTGGTCATCTAATCCAGCTCCCTCATTTTGTAGAGGAGGGAACTAGCTGGACTGGCTAGCAGTTAACTGTCCAACTAGTTAGCTAGCTAACTACCCAGAGGGGACATGACTTGACCAAGGTGACAGGGAGAGCTGGGGAGGGATAATATGGCACAGTCAGGATTTGAACCCAGGTCCCCTGAATCCAAACCAAGCATCTCTCGTTCTGGCACGGTTTGGAATAACTGTCCTCAAAGGCCCCTTCTCCTCTAGGTTCTATGACGCTACAGATGGGTTAAAGGAGATCATTTTTGGTGTCCTCCACACCTTTAGTAGTCTGGCGAAGCCTACGGACCCCTTCTCAGAAGCACACTTTAAAATGCATCAGTTCAGTCACATAGGATTACAAAGGGTAGTGAAAAGAAAGAGGTCATTTTTTCTGCATCGAAGTTCATGGATCCCCTGAAACCTAGCCATGAGTCCATGGACCTCCAGGTTAAGAAACCCTGAATTAGACCGCCTTAAGGTCCCATCTCCCTCTCAACACCAAGAGCCTGTATTTCCCCATCCAATACACACACACACACACACACACACACACACACACACACACGCATGTACACACATGCGCACACGCGCACACACACACACACACACACACAGGTAACAGCAGCAAAGTCGGGGTGAACCAAGGGGCTGGCTCAGATACCTCGATGTTGCTTCCCTCTGTCCCTCCTCCTCTTCTGCTCTCTGGTGTGTTTCCTCCCTCTTTCAAACTGATTGTCCCTCTCAGGGTAGGGAAACTCAAAGCCCAGAAACACGTCCTTATCCTGCAGCAGGCCGGACGGGCCCTGGACAGCCAGCATGCCCTCTCCACCAGGGAGCATCCCTGGCAGCCTGGAGGCGCCGGCTTGGTCTGGTACGTGGGCCCTGCCCTTCTTGTTCAGTCCATGCTTCCTGGGGTGCCGGGGCCGGGGCTGCCACAGCTCTGGGCTCTGCTGATTGATGTTATTCTCTGGGACGTTGCTTTCCTTAGGAGCAGACTCCAGAGCGCCTGTGAAGCTTGGACCCGTGAGGACCAGGATCCAGAGGAGAAGCACCGGGGAAAAGCAGCTGGCAGATGCTGCCATGGCCCTTGGCCCCTGCAATGAGATCAATAGAATACACATTGAGTCAGAGGTAATCAATCAGCAAATATTTTCTGTGCACCTACTATGCGCCAGGCAACTCTCTAAGATTCTAAATTACAGAGATAAATACTCCATCTCTCAACTCCAGACGTTTTCACTGGTTGTCTCTCATGTCTGGAATTTTCTCCCTCTTCATTTCCTGGCTTCCCTGGTTTGCTTCAAGTTCCAGCTAAAATCCCACCTTCTACGGGAAGTCTTTCCTGGTTGCCCCTTAATTCTATGCCTCCCTCCTGTTGATTATGTCCAATTTATTCTGTATGTAGCTTGTTTGTACTTGGTTGTTTGACTGCTGACTCACTCATTAGGCTGTAAGCTCCTTGAGGCCAAGGATTATTTTTTGCCTTTCTTTATACATATCCCCAGCACTTAGCACAGGGCCTGGCACATAATAGGTGCTTAATAAATGTTTATTGACTAATTGATTGATCTGGTTGGTAGAGGGAGTTCCCTTATAAGGATGTCCACATACCAGTGAAATTAGAAGTTTGGTTCACCAAATAAAAAAGGTTCCAGGCACTAAACATTTCTTAAGTCTATGATCCCATATGTAACCTTAGACAAATTCTTTAACATCCTTGGACCTTAGTTTCCTCAACTGCAAAATGCACCAGCTAGTTGGGCCTGAAGTCAGAAAGACCTGAATTCAAATCCTTACTCAGATGCTTACTAGCCGTATGACCCTGGGCAAGTCACCCTGTCTGCCTCAATTTTTTCCATCTGTAAAAATGGGGATCATAACACCACCTACCCTCCCAGGGTTGTTGTGAGACTCATATAATATTTGTAAAATTATTTGCAAACCTCTACAAATGTTAGAAATTATGATTAAAATGGGAGGGGGTGGTGGACTTAATGGTTTTTGAGGTTCTTTCTCAGCTCTAAATCTATGCTCCTATGGGTAACCTTGGTAAATTCACATAACCTTTGGGGTCTCAGTTTTCTTGTCTGTAAAATAGGAGGGTATCTTCTAGGGTCCCTTTCAACTCTAAATCTTTGATTCTTCCTGGATGACTCATGCTTCCCATACATTGCAAAAGACAAAGGGAGAGGAGGAGCCAGCACTGGGGGTTCATGGAGAGGAGGCTGCTTATGTGGAAGTCCCATCTGGAGTGACCGGCTGCATCGGACGCATTATTAATAGAGGTGCACCTCTATTTCCCACTTTCCCACCCTCTCCATGCTTATTATAGCCAAACAAATACAGCTTAGAGTTAGTTTGACGTGACTGAATTTTTATGACCTCCCTGGGGTCCGCCATATATTGCATTCCTCTCTCAAAGGTGCTTACTCATCCTTTTTTTCCTCCCTCTGATCTGTTGCAATATAATTGCTCAGGATCCAGGCTAGATTAGCTGGGCCTGGAATTCCAAGTAACTCTTTACTTTTCTCCCCAGTCCTCCTATACCTGATCTTATGATCCAACTCCTCTTCACCCCAACATCCAGGCATTGCCACCCAACACGCTCATAGGGGCCCTACTTCTATAAGCAGTGCCTTTGGACCAGGGGATGAAAGGAATAGGAGTCTTTAGATGCTTAATTATTATTATTACTAATACTAATGATCGTAATTAATAATCACTGGTAGTTATTATATCATAGTCTACTAACAATAGTGGATATTTATATACCTTTCTATAAAAATGTTTTATGTATATGAGATGTCCCAAAAGTCTTAGTGCAGATTGAAGCTACAACGTTTAAAACTTCATTGACTTTTGGGATACCCTGTATTATCGATTTTGATCTGTAAGATAATTTAGCAATTTTAGGAAGATTATAGCTACCCCAAAGTGGAATAGACTATATTCTGAAGTAATGGGCGCCCCCTTAACGGTGGGGTGATAGTGGTCACTTGTCTGGTTTGTCGTAGAAGGGATTTTTTTCCCTATTCTGGACTGAACTTAATGATTTTTGAGATCCCCTCCAACTGTGATGTTCTGGCATGGAAAGACTTGGAGTCAGGTAGACCTGAGTTCAAATCCTGGCTCCTAAATTTAACTAGCTGTATGACCCCAGATAGGCAAGACTCTTCACCACTGCCTGCCTCGGTTTCCTCATCTTTAAAATGGGGAGAATAACATCACCTCCCTCCCAGGGTTGCTACGAGGACCAAACCAGACAATACATATAAAGTTCTTCACAGACCTTAAGTGCTAGATAAATGCTACCTATTATAATTATTCTGAGTGAGGATATATGTTCAAATAAACTAAACACTTATTTTATTCAGTTCTTACTCTTCACAAGACACTTCCCTAAATCCCGGGGACACAAAGAGAACCAGTGAGTCTCTGTCTTTAAGTAGGTTTTGCTCTCCTGGGTGGGGAGAGACAACATGTAAACGGATCTGTGGGTGCAATAGAATTTGGGGGTGGGAGAGGGCAGCAACGCGTAAGTGAATCAGGAAAGCATTCTCCTAAGAGGTGGCACCTGGGTTGAACCTTGGAAGAACCTGGGGTATTAGGAAGTGGAGAAAAGGAGGGAGCACATTCCAGGAGTGGAGCCCAGCCTGTGAAAGGGCATGGGAGATGGCTTACTGAGCTTAGGGAATGCTGATCAGGCCAGTATAGCTGCAGAAATATGAGATAAACCTGGAATCAGACTGCAGAGGCTTTCAACGGAGAACTTGAGGAGTCTGTATTTTGTCCTAGAGGTATTTGGGAGCCCCTCAAGATCCTTGAGAAAGAAAGTGGGCATCATGAAAATAGAGCTAAGGGGTGGGGCAGCTAGGTGGAGCAGTGGATAGAGCACTGGCCCTGAAGTCAGGAGGACCTGAATTCAAATCTGGCCTCACACCAAACACTTGACACTTACTAGCTGTGTGACCCATGGCAAGTCACTTAACCCCAACTGCCTAAAAAAAAAAAATGGAGCTAAGGAAGATCATTTTGGCAGCTTTGTGGAGAAGGAAAAAAAAGGAAGATCAGAGCTGGGAAGGGACTTCCTTCCCCAGGATCACCCCGCTGGAGAGTACCAAAGATAGGATTTGAACCTATATTCACATCTTGAGCTCTTTCCAGCTGCTACCACTCACCCAGGGGGAGTCTCAACTAATATGGGTCAGGTGCTTTCCGAAGGGGAAATCTAATTTCGCCTCAGACACGCTTTCTATTACACTCTTTTGGAGTCTAAGTCTGGAAACTGGGGGTGGCCACATTCTCCCAAGCCCAGAACAGAAAGGATGGATGATGCACCAATCTGCCAGCTCAAAGAAATTCTGCAGGGTGTGAAGCCTGGAGAAACACCTTTTTCCATCTCTGTCCTTTCCTCCCCTCCTTCCCAGGGCCATCTCCTCGTTCAACAGTGATCTCGCCTGCTGCTCAGCCTGCCGCCTCCTCTCTCTCTCTTTTTGTGTCGGGGCTGAAAGGCGGCAGGCTGTGGTACAGCCTTTTCCATGTCCCCTATTATCTGGGTGCCCTCATTATTCAGCACTGAGCCTTCGGATGCTGGAGGAATGTGTGTCACTGGGGAGGGGCTTGGGAAAGCTCCCCTCTTCACCCCTAACATATCCACTTGGCCCCTTGTGCCCTTCTTGGTTAACCTAAGCTGCTCTTAGCACATGAAGGGGAGCCTGCAGCCTTAGCATCAGCTGAGTCTGTCCTTTTCTATCCTTATCTCCTAGTCTGCTATAAGGAAACTCCCTGGGTCTTTCTCCTGCAAAAGATGGGGGAGGGGGAATGCTGAAGAGTGATGTGAATCTGGGCGGGCAGCCCCTCCAAGGGGACCTTTAAGGGGCTTTCCGCTGGGTGATGAAAAGTTCAGGAAGGCTCGTCACACGTGTCAGAAACCCCCAGCCCCAGAGTAAATACCTGCTCTGGTTATGAGAGGCAGAATGGAAAGAGCTTGGGATGGGAGATTAGACTTACCCTGGAAGCTCAGCTCTGTTACTTATTACCTGTGTGGTCGTAGGTGACTCACTTAGCCTTTGAAAAATGAGAATGTTGGACTAAATGCTCTCAAAACTCCATCCTAACTTTTAATCCCATGATTCTATCTAGCTCCATAGGTTTGCAAGCTCCATGAAGGCAGGGATCTTGTCTTCTCTAACCTTTGCAAATCTCCAGTACCCGGCCCAAAGCTGGGAGACCTGGTTTCTATAAGGGTGGTGCTAATGAGGCCACGGCTGAGCTCTCCATATGAACCAGAATCCTACAAGGTAAGACTGAATCCCCCGCAGGCAAAGTCATTACCAACTGGGTTATGTTGAGGGTGTGGCCAGTAAAGCCATAGCAGTTCATTCACCCAACAACAAACAGTTCATTAAATGATTATTACAATAGTATATATCATATATATGTATAATATTATAGATCACATATAGATTATTACATGTATATTATTATATATCACATATAGAATATCATAATACATATAATGCATATCACACATGCAATATCACACACAGAATATCACACACATATATAATGTATATCAATATAGAATAGCACACACATATATAATATATACCACATATAGAATATCACATATATCTCTAATATATATCACACATAGAGTATCATATACATGTGTAATATTATATCACATATAGAATATCACACACATGTTATATATCACATATAGAATATCATATACATATATACTATTATATATTATAATGAAGATCAAGATCCCATAGGTAGAGCTGGTAACCTAGTAGGTGTTTAGTGAATGGTTGGTCATTGAATGATTGAATGAGTAACTACAGCTAAACTGGCCACATCCTCAACATAATGGAGCTGGTGGTGACTTTATCCTGTGGAGGGGCATGGGCTCAGTGTTCATCAATGGAAGATGGCTGTCCAGGACCAGGGTTAGGAGTGTTCTCTGTGCCTCAGGGAACACAGGCTTCCTCTCTGCAGAACTCATCACTTCATACATGGCCCAAGCCTTCAACCGCAGCCTTATTAGCACAGAACTCTGGCCACCAAGCTAACCAGAATAGGTAGAATT